CGCTCGCGGTGCACGTTGTAGGAGGGGACCTGTGTCGCAATCTGACCCCGTTTGCTAGATAAAAAAACATTTTGCAAGGCCTTCTGGAGGCAGAAAGGATTCCCAAATCCTGGGTGGCGGCAGATCTGTTTCCAAGCTCATTTGAAAAGGGCGTCGCAAGAAAGGGGAATCGATTAAAACATGAATTCTCCCCTCTACTGACCCAGTACAAGACCTCCAGCACCTCCTCTCCCTCCCCACACCTCCTCTCTTAGCTAAGAGCTCTGCTCTCGTGCTGGGACGCTTCAGAACGACATCAGATTTGGCCTCTTATCCTCTTAATGGCCCACTGGGAATTGTTTGGCTGACTTCCTTCCAAGATGCTAATCAGATTTACAATAAGCAAATTGTGTATCATTAAAGGCAGCATCAGATCCCCCAAACCTACCACGTCCCATCTCTTATCATCTGGTGTAGGACTACCTACTCCCAAAGCTCAGTCTCTCCTCCACACTGCAGTGACTCATTTTTGAAAGGCCATAATTATAGAATTTCCATTCTCCCTGTGCATCTACTCACTGCACAGGAAAAGAAGAACAAGCTAAAGGAACTTTAGATGACATGTAGATTGCTCAAACCTGAAATGTTAACGTTTTGGCTTTTTTTTTTTTTTTTGCCCCCCTCCTCTTTTTCTTCTTTTAGGTAATTCCAAAGCATAAGTTTGTCCTTGTGAAATTTGACACACAGTATCCTTACGGTGAGAAACAAGATGAGTTTAAGAAGCTGGCAGAGAGCTCAGGCTCCAGCGACGATCTTCTGGTGGCTGAAGTGGGAATATCAGGTGAGGAACGCTGGACAGATTAATACAGTAGGGATTGGTGTGGAGGAAACAAAACTCCCTGCAATTTCTGATGAAAGCGGGCTCTGAGGTAATTCTGACAGTGAGAAATGAGATGAGCCCAGCCCTGTCAGAGCGAAGCACCTGCTCTGTCTGGTCGCTGAGCTCTGCCTCCCGCCGGGAGCGTAGGAGTGCAGCTTATCTCCTTTTGGCTGGGTAATGAAGCAAGTCAGCCCACGCTGCTTAAACACGATGCCACCCCCCTCGTTCGTAGCACTTTTTGTCATTTTTATTTTCTTTCCGTGCTGAGAGAAACCTTCTCATCCATTTCTAGGCTTTACAAGAGTCACGCTTTAGCCACAAGCCTAGGCAAACACATCAAATGTGATACGATTAATTCATTGTAGCAAACCCTCCGTTTATTGCTGGTAAAGCACAGAAAGCACCGTGCTGAGAGAAACCTTCTCATCCATTTCTAGGCTTTACAAGAGTCACGCTTTAGCCACAAGCCTAGGCAAACACATCAAATGTGATACGATTAATTCATTGTAGCAAACCCTCCGTTTATTGCTGGTAAAGCACAGAAAGCAGTCGTCGTGCCATGGATGGTGTAACTTGATGTTCTTGTAACCAGCCTGAAGAGAAAATTGGTGGGGAGTAGGGCACCGTCACCTCACTCACTCTTGCTTTGCAGGTAGAATTAAGAATTTAAGCTTACAGGAATTGTCAAACTGGGAAGTTTCACCCAGGCTGACATCTCTAAACACACGTGGATTTAGCTAAGTGGCAGAAGTGAAATCTCTTTATGTTTTGTGTCCTCATGAATAAATGCCATTTACGTAAGATGAGAAAACATCTTGTAGCTTGGCATGCTGTCAGAACTAAAACATAAAAGTGCACACTCTATGCACATAGATCAGGAAAAAAAATCTATTTAACTGTAAAATCAAATAAAATCAATGGATAGAGAAAAACAAGGGAAAAAGGCTATTAATTTCCCATAAGGAGGAATGTAGAGGTCGTTCTGATGTGTTACGCTATCACAGTCACAGCAAAGCACCACTAGAATCCTGTGTTTTTCTTTGGAAAACCTTGCCTTGCACAAATGATTTTCTGGGGTGTTTTCATTTCAGTGTGTGGCATTTCCTGGCAAAGAGGCTATGAGGACATGTTGAAACTCTGGAGATAAAATATTTATCAGTTTGTGTGGGAGAGAATCCTAAATTAATTTCTGCTTTTAATTAAGGTGCTGTGCTTTTCTGTCTTTCATTTCCTTTTTGACAGATTATGGTGATAAACTGAACACTGAGCTGGGAGAAAAGTACAAGCTGGATAAGGAAAAGTTCCCTATTTTTTACTTGTTCCAGGATGGTGACTTTGACAATCCCTTACCTTACAGCGGCCATATCAAGGCTGGGGCTATTCAGCGCTGGCTGAAGAGTAACGGCATCTACCTGGGGATGCCAGGCTGCCTGAAAGAGTATGACATGCTGGCCAGCAAGTTTGTGAGCACCACTGAGAAATCAGAACGCCAGTCCCTCCTGAAAAAGGGGCAAGAGAGTTTAGAAAAAACGAAAGAAACCGAGAAGAAGTCAGCTGAGCAATACTTGAAAATTATGAGCAAGATACTGGAGCAGGGAGAAGAGTTTGCTGCTAATGAAGTCGTCCGAATCACAAAACTGATTGAGAAGAACAAAATGAGTGATGGAAAGAAGGAGGAGCTCCAGAAAAGCCTCAATATCCTTGCTTCTTTCCTGAAGAAGAATAATGAAAAAGATGAGCTCTAATATCTTGGAGAACTTTCTACAAGCTGTGAAACACTGTCAAGAGTCCTAACCAGTTCTCCTTATGCAAGCAAACGTCCCGCTGACTTCAAGAGAGCAGCAGATTTCCTTCTGGTATTCTCAGTTTAGAAGATGGAGAGGAAGACATTCCTTAAAAACACAGTATTCTGAATGTTGGAAAAATCATCTTAAAGCAGACGCCAGTATTGTGTAATACTATTCAATAATAGTGTTAAAGTAGACCAAAAAAAAAAAAAAGCACTAGATTGGCCTGAAGCACATTCCTGGTGGTTTTTACAGCTATTTCCTGGCAAACAAATAACAAAATTCAGTCCCACTTTCCATCTTACATGTTGTAAAAGGTACAGATTGGGTGCCCCTCGCATCCCCACCTTTCCCTGTTCATCGTGTCCTTGGGGTTTATGCTCTTTAATCTACCCCTCCTCCTACCTTTTGTTTTCCCAATAGGGCTCCCTCTCCAAGTGTTGTTCTCCTTACCTGTTGTTGACTGAGAGAGACGGAGTTTCCTTTTTCTGCCTTCTCCTTCAGTGGCTCCTGTTTCTGTTTGGTTTGGGTATCGGCCAGATGCTGGCAGGCGTAGTCAAGACAGGTCCTCCACGTATCAGAACTTGCCCCTCATCTTCTGGCCGGAGCAGCCATCTCAGCAAACGCTCTCCTGAAATCCTTTGTGATACCCTGACAGAGCGAGTGATTTCAGCTCTGAGCAAGGGCAGAGTCTCCTTGAGGTGCTATTACAGTTAGACTCGCCACTTTGTGCAAAAATGTCTTTTTTCAGACGTAAATTTGAGTTTTCTTATGGCTGAAGAGCACGTGCAATGCCTGTGCATTTTGCCTGTCCTTCCCGTCCAAGCTTAATTTCCCAGGTTCAGAATAAGGGGGAGTGAGACCAATAAGGACATCTGAAAGTCTCAAGCCGTAGTTAATATGAACAGAGTATCTTCTCCAGCTTCATCTTCAGAAGCGATTGGCACTGTCAAACTAAAGCTTCATCAGCGTTTGGTAGTTTTAAATATTTGAAAATGAGGTCTTGTAACAGAAGGCAGTATTTGTGCCCTTAGAAGCCCCATCCATACAGTTTTAATGGAGATACCTGGCCCAGGGATCAAGTCAGTTCTTAAAACTTGATACTGCATGTGCTGTTCACGCTGTGTGGAGCTCAGATGGCCACTGGAAGACGCTGTACTCCTCATCAGGGTTATAGGGAGTTGGAAAGAGAAACACCTGTGCGTTTTATCTTAAGGCTATGCTTTAAGCTAAGCAAAACTGATTTCTGTGGGAGCTTTGCTGCCTTTTGAATCCTGGGGTGAGTGCAAGTAACAGACGTTACTGCAAGATAAAATGTATTAATGCTATAATAATAATAATAAAAAAAAATTGGTTCCAGTTAATAGCTGCTTTTTAAACTGCTTTCTAGTGAAACTGCTGCTGGTTTTGTGGTTTCAGGGGAAGGCAAAGGCTGATGATGCCACCTAGAAGCGAAAGTAATGCCCCGGAGGTGAGGGGTTTACACCAAGCGGTGGGAGGGTCTCCTCGGGGCCTGGCGCCCTCTGCCCCTTAGGAAGGGAGGAGGAAGGACCCCAGGCAGGGTGGGTGTCATCTCTAACCTCTCCAGAGATTCGGTTGGCCTGTGTGAGGACGCTCCCCGCTGGGTTCCTGAGGAGAAAGGAGACTGAGGAGGAGTCGCCGCCGCCGCCGCCTCAGGGAGCCGCCGAGGGCCCCGCGCGCCCCCTCAGAGGTGCCGCCGCCCGCGCGCCCCTTCAGGCGGCTCCCCCGCCCGCCCCCGCCCGCTCGTGACGCCGCCGCGAGACGGTGCGGCGGGGAGTCGCGTGCCCACTTACTGAGAGGGGG